TTTATCATTTTTTATTTTTTTGTACCTTCATGTACAAACAATAACTAATCTTTCAATATTAAAGAAATAACGATTGTTACACCATTGTGCATCACTGTCTACGCCACTATAGTGTAAAAAGATGATGTGTATAGCACTATTGTTAAAGATAAGGACCAATGTGGTGGTGCTTGATTGAAATTATACGACTAAATTTCACACAGAACAGTCATCACCACCGTCCAATAGCCCACCTTGTCACTTTCCGCTCTCTTTCTCTCTCTCTCACACACACACACACACACATTCATTCACTCACTCACTCACTCACCTCCACTACGGCCCACCACACAGATGCACACTAGTACAGTATCCCCTCCCCTTCCCCAAGCCACGACACAACCACTCAACAAACGTGTTACAGATCTGCATATTTTACATTTTCAATCCTTAATTCCTGTGCATTTTTAACCGGTTCTCTATATGCGTTTTCTTGTCTTATCCCCTGCCCACCTCCCGCTCAAAGTGAGCTGTCTGAATCCATGTTACTACATATGTCTTGATTATCTGTATCTATTATGTCAAAAGTAACATATAGGTCTCATCTTCCATGAATTTGTGTTAAAAAAAAAAAAAAAGTAAGTTTGTAGAAGAATACCTGAATGTGCAGAGAATTTGCTTCTCCAGAAATTAATGTTGGTCTTTAATGGCAGTTGCCTTTCCCATAAATCAAGAAGAGAAGTAAGGGAAAAAGAGAGGCCATGCCTCCTCCTTCACCGTACCTGTTTAGAGAGACAGAAGAACATCTTCCATTGTTTTTTTTTGATTTAGACAAGATTTTTGGAGAGGATGGAAGGGTATCGTAAAAATTTGTGGGTCCCTTGATATTATGTAAATGACAGTCCTTCTCTTCTAAGACTTCTTTTCTTCACATGATGGAAGAAAGACATGTTAAAAAAGACATGTGGGTCCATACATGAACATGAACGTGAACAGGACGAAGCGTGTATTAGCCCTTTTATAATATAAGATACATAGTTTCCTCCGGCTTCATGCTCTGTTTTTTTAATGTTACATCAAGTCAATTTCTCACACAGTTTTATATTGCTTACTTTATTCTTTAGGTTCGGGAAAAATTCATTAAAATTAATACATTGAATATTTAGTAGAAATGAGTGAGACCCATTAATCGAACACATACATTGATTTAGCATACAAAAAAAATGATAAGCATAGCAATGCTCAAAAAGTTTTTAGATTGTAAGCTAGAAGTCCAATGTTTCATGATATGGAAATTTACCCAAAGACTAGAGACAAACAAACAAATCTAAGAGTTCACTACAACACAATTGTTTATATACTTGTCTCCTGGGTTGATTTTCTGATTTTACAGCATCCAAAAATTTTACTAGAAGATTTGATTTGATGTATGAGTCAATGATCCATCTGGAAAAGCTTATATGCTTTTACTGCAAGGAAATCTCTTTTACTATGTGGATAAGATTTGTTCGATCTATCCATCTTCAGGTCGGAAAAGGTTGGATGAATCTTATTCTACTAGTAGGAAAGAGAAAATGATTTGGATCCTCCATTAATATATATATATATATATATATATATATATATATATATATATA